GGAATGTCACACAGCATGGCATTACAGCTGGGGTACATTTTAGGGTAGTTTTTCCTTGCAATGCTGTATCAGCATTCAAGGACATTGGTCATCCACCCATTATAGACCATTGGCTCCATGTGTTTTGTATCATTGCATTTCCTGTGTTTGAATGGTTTTATTCTCTAACCTGTGTTGGCGACTTTAACGATTTTGTAATTTAGGGCATTTAAAACACATGTATATCAACTGATCTGGGTGCAGATCTTTCAATCAATTAAAATCCATGTAATTACTGTAGTTCCTTACTCTCAAAACTATGACTCACGTCCATGAATATTTTGCGTCAAAATATTGGTCAAATCTTTGGTTGAGCTTTTAAAACCTGCTAATAGTGACACTTTTTTCACACAGGAGCAGTGAGAAGGTCAGGGGTTCGAATCCTGGGCGAGTGAAGTTTGCTTGTTGTCCTCCTGTCTGCATGGTTTCTACCAAAAATATGTACAGTACAATAGGTCAAACCCGGTTATCTGATCAATCTGACCAAGCCGACATCTGGAGGACCATAACTCCTGACAGAGGCCCTTATAGCATTGTGGGAGATGGGTCAAATATGAAGGACGAAATCCCCCACAGACTTAAATCATGTGTACCTTAACCTTAAAGACATAGGAGGATTTTCCCAACTTTTAGGAAAGGACCGCCCTATCCACTTTTTGAACAAAACTCTGGTCTTTTTTGACAAGCACATATCACCTGGGAGGACCAATAGTCTTGCTGATCCACAGTATATGGATCAGTATATCCACAGTATATTGTAGAAAAATCCTTCAATATACTGTGAGGTATAAAAAAAAGATCAAATGTTTTCAAATAAGGTGAAGCCAACATGATGTGATCTGATTTGTTCACAAGATTATAAACTATTCCTGTTGGGACAAACAAAATGTAGGCCTTTTATTTATAAGTCTTAGCTACCCCCCTTTTGTTATATCTTGCTGGATCAAACTCCAAGTCAAAGTAAAACAAAAAAATAATGTTTGCATGATAGAATAATACCATGCAATGAAGATAAGTCAATGCAATTATCAATGGAAACATGTAGGCTCTGGAATAATGACAAAATGACACTTTTATATACTTTAAGAAGCAACTTGAGAAATCTCCCGTTCACAGTTCACTTTTCACCATTGACCTGTTGCCAGTGAACTTTTACACCAGTGGAAGCAAAAACACTGGCTTTATTATGACCTGACACAGCAGTTATGTTTATTTCTCTAAACGCATCCCTTGTGGTTTCGCAGACTATTTATTGTAGTAATCGGATTATGCTAAGTCTGTTTGGTGTCATTGTGTCATTTTGATAAAGGGCAAGAGTGTCACCTTTTCATGTGAGCCTATTGCATATACAAATACCTTAAAAAAGCCAAATTGCATTGTTTATTACTGACATGAATTAGTGATTGCAATATTTTTTGCCTGTCAGTTCATAATCACAGTCTGTAGTCATAGAAGTCCTCTGATGAATGTCTGAAAAGCTACTATGCAATTTTGAGTCCTATCCCAGAGTGGTCTGACAGCAGCAGGGACTTTGAGCAACAAGCTGGTCACCCATTGAACACATGAGACCTGCAGAAAGAAGAGTTTCATTGTTGTTTGCAAATATTATTTATAATTTTGAATGATTGTGATCTGTTACTTCTCCATGTATATCCTTATATGAGAGACACAATTTATTTTAGCTTCAGTTGATCAATGTGTCCTTTTTTGAACCACGGGTGAAGTGCTTGGGGACTTCAAATCTTGAGCTGCGGACTGAAGCTGATAGAGGAAACCACAAAAAACACATGTCCTCGGCTCACCAAGACCATGTTTCCACTACATAAATCAGACGTTTTTCATGCCTTATGCCTAGCGTACATCGGACTGGCAACTGATTGTACAGTATCTGTCGCCTATGAGTTGCTGCCCCGCACACATCGACAATCTGGCGAAAACGGGCAACTCCTAGTAGCAAGCCAGTCTCGGGAATAACAGCGCTTTCATCGACTGCAACTGGCCTCAACTACAGTGTGTTTTCTGACATAAACTGTAGAGGGCGCGCAATACACACAGGTTGTTGGAGCACATCGGGTGATATCTCCGGATCTGAGGACAACTAGTTGCCGAAAAGTAGAACACGGGCAACTGACTGAATCCGGAGATTGACTGTTTATCTGCAGTTGTAAGAGCGCTCACATCGACCGATTTCAGCAACTGATCATCTCCCATTATCTACTCTCAGTTGCCAAAAGCCGCCTTGTAGTTTGTTCAGACCAGGCATGTCCAGACTATGGGCTGTGATGTAATGTTATATGGCCTTTTGCCACTAAAACAAAGTTGCCATTGAGGTGCTTTCATAGTGTCATCCAGTCAACTTCAGCTCGTTTTATTCATTTAATTATTTAATTGGTTATTTGGATGGGACAGTGCACATTGAGTACCTGGAGCAAACCTATGCAGATACGGGGGGAACATGCAAACTCCACACAGAAATGTTCTGGAGGTGGAATCAAACCCAGGAGCTTCTCACTGTAAAGTACAAGTGCTATCCACTGTACCACTGTGCTGCCATCGTCATGCTATACGTCATGTAAAGATCAGAACCTTTGGAATCCAGTTGTTTACTTTATCTGTATATACTGACTGATTTGTTTTTGCTTGTGTCACAAAATTCCATATGACGCTCATGTAGCTGTGGTTTGAATCAATATAGATTCATTTTAAAGCTCAGAACAACCTGGGTCCAGTCAAAACAGTCATTTATGTCAGCCCCTGCACAAGTCTGGTGAACTGAAGTGGCCCTTTCCTTGGTCTAGACCAAATATTGAAATCCTTTACAACATCAAGGGACACAACACTCACGCCCTGCATACTTGGGGCGTAGAGGAGACATGGCACTATTGTTGGAAAAGAGTTTGTTTCTGTTTTGCTCTCTTCAGCACCTCTCCTAGGTCACTGGCACAGAGACGTCCATTAATAATCTTATGATATAAACTGTATCATAAGTTCTTCTTTTTGATCCTTTACTATATGCTCTATTGTGGAATTTATGCTTTTGAAATAGTAACACATATTGATTGAGCCCAAATAAAATGGGTAAAATTAGCCATGGACGTTTGTGTTTCTCGTGGTGTTAAGTGTAATATAAACACAGCCGACAACTTTCAGCCCTGCTCCTCTGTCATACTTCTGTACAAGAGCAAACACGTGTCTCGCTAAACCACATTACAAGAGTTGAAAGTTATGCTGCTGGCACAATATATGATAATATATGGGAGCTTCACGTGGTTATGCAATTATTGCCTTAAAGACTGGTTTGGAACATTGGTGCTGCTGGTGGTCCATTATTACTTTCCATTAAGTTAATTTGTGTGACAGAAACAGAAAATATGAAACAACTTTTATTATCTATATAAAATAGATGGTCATCTTGAATGATGAAAATGCAAAAGCAAAATTCTTCATCTTATAACTAACAAGCAGTATTTTAAAATATTCAGACAGATTGAAATTAATGCAAATAATAGAAAGCAGCCATTCAATGGAAGTGACCTCTTTGTTTAAACTTGAAGCTCATTCTTTACAGTTGATAAGATAAGCTCTATCTTGTCAACGTTAGCAGCTTTACCTCAGGAGAGAGCAAACATACATCTATCTTCTACCAGAGAGGGCAGGTGCATATTGATGCAGAAATGATGTTTCCTGCTGCAATAAAAGGGGCTATATTAGACCGTTGCGTAGTGTTGACCAGTCTGACAGTGAGCCTTGAAACACAAACACTAGCAAACCTAAATTAAACCTAAACAAAATATTCATTTATACGTTTCCCTGCAGGGAAAATAAAATGCACATTTACATACAATTATAGGATAAACACAGCAAACAATACCAACTCAGTCATACACCTAAAGCAACCAGTTTATGCCAAATATGCCTAAAATCAACATGAATTTGGATCCGCGATCAAACGGTAATCATCATACATATGTCACAATTTGGCAGTTATCTGTTTTGTTTTTGCAAATGACCTATTCATATTGTAATCCACCAAACAGGGCTGTGCTAAATATCAAAAGAAAAACTATGTGTGTCATTTTTCTCTTACTCTCAATCAACATGTGCATTAAAATCCAGAGACAGCGCTCGTGTTGCAGTAGCGGTGCTTGGGGCTGAATGAGGCTGAGTTACGTTAATGAGTTTAGGAGAAACAACTGTCTCCCTTCACAAGTCCTACAGGTTCAAATTTCAACAATACAATATATTAAAATCAAAACGACATGATAAAAAAATTATTTTGCATTCCCAGATGGCCCTGTCCTATCCGCTGATGACACTTGATCCAAATCTGATGATTTAATAGATATATTTGAGTGTTGATAATTATGAGTACTAATAGATGGCTAGCAACATAGAGCTAAAAGCAAATTCATAGTTTGGGATTTCCTACTACTTACAATGGCAATACAAATATGTCTGATTCTGAATCAGTTGATGCCTGTTGTGCCCTGACACTTCAGTGTGCCTTGAGATGTTGTTTGGTCTGCCTTTGGAAACAATCCAATATCTCCTTATCAAAATAATGAAAATACATTATTGTGAGAAGACTAGAAACTTTTTTTTTGCGCTTGTGCATTGTTGGTGAAGGCTGCAGAGTTTCATGTTTGCATAAGTTTCAGGTGCTGGTGTGCCATGTGATCGTTGTCAATGAAAAAAAAAATTAAATATTCTTCATTCAAATGGTTTACGCTTGACTTTAGCAAATTTGGAGTGTCTTAAAACAAGAGTTGCCAATGGGACAAGCGATTTAGAATTATTTCAAGGACTGGCATTTTTTCTCATTCCAAGGGAGACATTCTTTGTACCTTTTTAAAAGATCATTTTGCTTGTCCCATTGGTAAATCTTGTTTTAAGGCAGTCAAAAAGGGCGCCAAATTAAGACACATTTAGTTCCTGGCTCAAAAAGGTGGGGAAACACAGACCTACATGACATACCTGAGCGCCATGGACGTGCCGTTGACGGACGCAGCGGAGCACGCTCTGTTGGTGTGTCCGTACGAGTAGCTGCCCGGCCGCACGTAGCGCTCATCCCCGCAGCAGAGGATGACCAGGAAAGCCCTTCGAAACGCCCGGTTTAAGAAGGCGTACAGGAAGGGGTTAAGTCCCGAGTTGATATACCCCAGCCAGAGCCACGCAGTCCACAGCTGCCACGGCACGGAGTAGTTGATGAACGGGTCGACCACGTTGGTGATGAAAAATGGCGCCCAGCACAGACAGAAACAGCCCATGATCACAGCTAGAGTTTTGGCCGCTTTGGTTTCTATCCGCATGCGACTGTTCACCATGGGCCCGTGCTCTGGGGGCAGCGAGCTCTGGGGCGGCCTCAGTCTGTAGTGGTCCAGGGGGTCTGAGGAGGTGGACGATCGGACGGCCATCACAGGGGTCGTGGTGGAAACGGGGGCGGAGCCGGCGCGCTGCAGAGTTTCGATCTGCCGCACGTGGCTCATGGCGGTGACATAGATGCGCTGATAGGCCAGGACCATGAGCGCGAGGGGCACGTAGAAGGCCACCGCGGAGCAGATGAGCGCATACGGCCAGTTCACCATGAACACGCAGCTGCTGGTGTCGTTAGCGCCGCCGGATAAAGCTCGCCGCTCCGCAATCTGCCAAAGACAACCAGAGCCTGTGAGTGCATGGAAGCCAGCAGAACCATTAAAAATTAAATTACTAGAACTCCCAGAACCGTCATTTTGACTGCTCCCATTCAAAACAATGGAATTCTGAGAAGTTAGTGAGGTCATCATCAATTTCATTCAAATTTTCCTTTACTCACTTTTAAATAAACAGTTTGTTGACAGGCTAAATGCTAACTGGTTGCAAGTTAACAGTATGTTGCTATTGTTACTAGAGCTTTTTAACTTCTATACTCCATTTCAACATTAAAAGATAACTTCATAAACATAATGACATAGAAAATACATAAAGAAACAGAAAAAGTCACAAAGTTATGAAGAAAATGCACATGAGCTGAGTAATGTGCAGTGTTAAAAATGCAAGTGTTGCACCATCTTTCCTGAACTGTTTAACAGCTGGTCTTCACTGTCTGTCTGACTTTGTATATGCACCAGTAAGTTTACGGCAGCTGGAAAATCTTTTCTGGTAACTATAGTAAATGTCAAAAGTCAGATGTATAGTCTATAATTACAGGACATGGATAGAATGTTCTATTTGATAATAAGACTCATGTGCTTCCATATTATCCATATTCAGCCATTTTTGCTCAAACAAACGTCGGCATCCATACAGTTTAATTACTTTGACTTCAAAGCACTGTACAGCCAAATTACATTTGATCAATTCTCAGATAGTAATGTACCATGTATTTTATAAAAGATATATGTTATTTGGCAAATTACATTATGATGTTTAAGACAACCAGCTACAGGAAACTTAACTTAACAATTACATTGAAAGTAATTGAAAGGAAAGGCAAAAAAGTATGTGTTTTACAAAGCACTCACAAATCATAGAAAATAGTTAACATCTATTGACTTAAATGACAGTTACTTTTCAAGCAGTGAAAGGAGAGTTTTTGAAGACAAGTTGGTTTGACCTGCCCTTTCTTACCCCTGCAGCTTCCTGATCAACATGAATACACATCATTTTAGAGGCATGGTTTAATTGGTTTAACTTTTCTCCTCCCGCAAATCTTACCGATCATACAGTATGTTATGCCAAGGGGAGAGACTATTTTAAATCTAATATTGTAGTAAATATTTACTGTACATAATAGTACAGTGTCCCATGCTCAGAAACATACATTCTGACATCACCTACAGCTCTTTGTAAATAAAGATAATCGAATTGAAAAACATAAAGAGAGACCTCATAAACTGTTTGAACATTTGCCTTTGATCAGCATGAACGCTTTTGCTGGTATTTTGATAGAATTCACCAAGAATTTCTGTGACAATGTGTTCAGGAGCACCACAGACAGCAGCTGTCTGTGGTGCTTACTCTGTCTCCATGAGATTAATATGTCTTCCGCTCAACAACAAGGTCAGACCAGAGTCAAGCTGCAGACCTATTACTGCAATAGTTTTACATTACTCCTAATTGTGCTCAGTGTGATGATCTATGGAGGAGAGGATGCATTGTTCTCAATTTGTTGGGAGACAATTTTTGATTGTCTGATATGAATGAAATAGATAGGATATATTTAGATAGGAAATTATGAAGGGTAGGAGGTTCAAAACTGATGGATAGGATGGCATTAATTCTTCCTCCCACTTCTATTCAGGTTTAATTATGAATAATATTTTGTATTATGGATGTCCATGTATATAATGTTATTAGTATTATTGTAAAACAAAAAACAAGAACAGAGATACTAATAATAATAAAGTACAACTAACAATGCAATGTGCAATGTACGTAGAACTTGAAATCCACGCAGCAGAGGCCTGGATGCAGAGCGGCAGAGGTAGTGGGTACGGCGGCAGAGGTAGTGGGTACGGCGGCAGAGGTAGTGGGTACGGCGGCTGGATGCACGCAGCGAAAGCAGAAGATGAGATTCACTGAACATCCTCGCTCCACGCACATGCAGCAACCAATCAGAGAGCAGCAAAGTGGTCACGGGGACATAAGCCGGTCAGCCCTGGACTAAACCAGGGCTGGTAATGGGGGACGCAGCGCCCATGTCTTCACCCTGAGTTGACATTCACTGTGACTGTAAATAAGTGCGTAAACTTGTTCGCCGATACGAAAGTACCCACCACATCCGCCCTGCGTTTTTCCCCAACACAGGGCAGTACAACATTTTATTTTATTTAATTTCCTTTCATTTTCAATCCCTATGTCCATTTCTGGGTCAGGGGGGTGGCAATGAGAGCTGCCACCCAACGCGCATAACACCAGTCCCTCGCTGATCTTCTGCAGGGGGTGAGTCCACAGGAAGATGGCTGCTCCGTCAATTGTGAAACAGCCTTGGTCTTTCAACGGGGGCTTCAGGCAACGTGGGGTTAAGTGTCTTCCCCAAGGACACAACAACAGCAGTCATCAGTGGGAGCAGTTGGAGTAGGTCTCATGGTGGGAATCGAACTCACAACCTCCAGGCTCAAAGGCCAATGCTCTACCAACTGAGCTACCAACTGAGCTACTGTGGCAGTACAACAGATTAACTAAAATCATGCAGCTGATATTTAGTGAATGTGCGTCCATGCATCGGCGGTGGGAACACAGCTTAATGCTGATTTATTCTTCATTTGGATTCACATTTTTCAAACTCATTACACACCAGAATGAATCCTCAGACAATGACGTCACTGTCTGAAAGCCAAAGTAATGCAACTTGCTTGGTTTTGGTATTAGTCAAACTACATTCTTTAATTTTACTGCTACATATTAGATTTAGATCTAAATCTTGCAGAATGTAATTTCCCACTGTTGCTTTTACATAATTTTTTCCGTTTAAGTTCTTAATTACTTCAGTTCAGGGGCCAAATCAACACAAATGATTCATAATATCTCATTCATTGAGCATTCAATGATCATATATAAAGATGAACTTTTCCATAACTTTCCACAGTCCTTTCCCAGAAAACAACAGATACAACAATCATAAATAAATACAACCTATTTATTCAGACATTAGAAGAATCTCAAAACGTACACAAACTAAACTGGGAAAGAAGGTTTTAAAACATTTAAACATATCAAAAATGTAATTAAGTATTATTATTTTTTACATACTATAAATGTTATAAACATAACAGGATTTTAACTGCCTATGATTATTGTTCTTATGTGTGTTTTGCTGCTTTGTGTTTTTGAACATGAAACTGAGCGTTCATGAAATAGAGATAAATAAATAAATTTAAACTTTTTTTTTGGTTTCTAGGCTAGTACCCAGCCCTACATGGACATTTGCTTTTTTGTGGTTTGCAACCTTTTATGCCCTAATGTCTAGAAATACATGGATTATGTGGTTTTACTGAGAAGTATAGCTTTAAAGGTAAACTGTTTAATTTTTAGTGCCATCTAGCGTTGAGATCTTATATTGCAGTCCAAAATAGTACGGAAGCCTTTGAGTTGAGGACTCAAAGGCTCTCAGTCTCTCAGTCAACTCTCAGTCTTTCACCAGACTGCCAAGGGAAGAATACTTTAGTTTGATAAATGACCGGATCTCTCCAAACGTCTCTCTAAAAGCTCATGTTAGCTTAGCGTTAGCCACAGCACCCTGTCTGCATCACAGTAAGAAAACAGAACATTCACTCACGCTGCTGATAAAGTATTCTGGCAATTGTTTTTTGGGGATTCTGTGTGTTTTATTTGAGTCTTTTTTCCCTGAATAAGTTTATTTGAAACTTGTGATAGTAGTTTGGACTGCGCTCAGAGCAGGTCAGAACATCCTGAGACTGTTGCAGATTCTGCCTCGTTCTCATTATTGTCAGTGTGAAAAAGTTACGTATTGTTCACGTGTGAGTCTGTTGTGTACAAACTACACAATGTGCCTCCTGTTGAGTAAAAGCTGCACTAACTGATTTTAGGATTTTGAAGCCGTGGATGGCGTGGCCATAGAACGATAGAACCGGGAAGCGCGGAGGAACAGGAATGTCTTTTGGATGGCTGTCTCGCTGTGTAAGCAGTAACCGGTGACGAAGACGAGGAAGCTTCAGGTTAGCTCCGCCGCTTGTTGTGCTAACGCAGCTGTCTATGCTAACGGACCTGTAGATTTCTTACGAAAGTGGGGGCCAGTGGTCCGCTGTGATTGGTCACAATCTGCGATCCAAAACACATTCTCTTCCTTGTTTCGTCAAAACTCGATCTAAAATATAATGTCATGCCAGCACAAATCTGCACTACTTTTTCTTCAAAAGGACGTATTTCCCAATGCACTGCATGGACATGTATAGCACTTTTGTAATGAATACGAAAATAAAGTCAGTTAGTGCAGCTTTAACACTGTCTTTGTGCGTGTGGTTTGCGATGTTTACACTTTGCTGCTATGATGCTGGACTTCTGCATAATTAGTTTTCTACAAGATTGTTGTTTGGATCGTTCTTTTATATAACTGTGGTCCTCCATGGTTCCTTCTTCCAACTTGTGAAGGCACAGTGAAAGCAAGCTCCTCTCTCATGGACACTTATAAGTTAAATTCTAAGCCTATGAATACAATTCAAAACACATGGTGGAGGTGAATATTCTTAAAAAGGTCACATTTGTAATTAGTCAACATCTTTTTTCATATGGAGCAGCTGTAAAAATTACACAGGGTGGCTTTAAAATGACATATAACATGTCTTAGTTGCCCATATTAACCCCTTACTAATGTTGCAAATACCCCCTCTAATACCCTTGGATACCCCTAAGGGTCCACGTCCCCCTGTTGGGAAACACTGCCTTGCATAACTGGTATTACTCTAAAATCCCCATAGTGCACTTTTCTCATTTTCTTGTCATGCACCATTTCTCACCAAACATGTTTCTATGTACACAAGAACACATATTTATTTTATTTCCTTTTTTCTTTACTTTCTAATATTGTTTTTTGTGGAATTTCATTGAGTCTGGCCAAAACATTTGGTCTGTGTGTGCCTGCCTCTGGGTGCCTCTACCATCTCTGAAATAACTCGACACAACGCCCAAACACGTTGAAAGCAGAAGAGAGAGAAGGGAAAACTCTCTCTGGAGAAAGGCCCTCATCGCTCGGAGCAAGAAAGCCTCCACTGGGGACTGAAATTGTTTTGTGATCATTGCATTACTATGTCATTGTGAAAGGATTGAAAGTGTTATTAAAAGCAGACATTTGATAGACCGGGAGGGCTTGTGTGCCGTTAGTCCAGGCCAGCAGAGCAAGAATGTCTAGGGGACTTTTAAAAGAGGTACATGAAATCCCTTTTGTTTTGGCTGGTGATGTTATCTGGGAAAATGCTATAATTGCCTTTTGTTTCTATGGATGTGCCACCCGCTTTGGATTACCCTAAAGGACTTACTATGTCCTCGATGCCAATGGCGTTCCAGCTTTGCATGATGGGTAAAAAGGAGATGAAAGTTGGGATGAGCCAGCAACCACTCAGCATCACAGCCACTCGCCCCGGGGTCATCTTGTGTCTGTAGACCAGCGGCTGGCAGCAGATGGCATAATACCTGCAAGAAAGTATTTCATTTAATGTTATCAGTAGTAAAAGTTACACTCTGCATTCATTCATCTAAACTCTGATGTTGTTAAGGGATAGCTGGAAGTATTTAACATTATTATTTATCCATCCATCCATTTTTCTTCCCCTTAATCCATTTCTGGGTCGGGGGGGGTGTCCAGGGATGCCACCCAGTACACACAGCACCAGCCCCTCACTGATCCTCCTGCAGGTGGTGAGTCCACAGGAGCTGAGATCTTTCAGTGGGAGCTTCAGGCAAAGTGGGGTTAAGTGTCTTGCCCAAGGACACAACGACAGCAGTCATCTGGCACCTTCAGGCTCAAAGGCCAATGCTCTACCAACTGAGCTACTGTCGCCCCCCATTATTTTTTATTTCATTCATTAATTAAGTTATTGAGTGACGTTTATGAATTAAAAAAAACACAAATGTATAAACACAAAAAAGATTTAACCCATTTCACACATGCATGAAAATATTCAGTAATAAATTGTATCAGAATTCAACATGTTTTAAGTCTCAACCTGAATTTCTCCTACGGGGATCAATAAAGTATCTAACTAACTAACTAAGTGTGCTATTGACATTCCAGCATGTGGTTTATGGAAATGGAAAGGTTTATGGTTTATGGAGACCCAAACAGAAATTATAAATATGGGAATTTGAATTAAGATTCTAATGTTTTTTGTGTGGCCATAAGTTTATGTACTCTAAACTATACACTTATATATCTATATCTATATGAATATGATTTTGACTGATTTGGAAAAAAAAAAATAATATTAAATCTATTCAGAAACCAAGAAATGCTGTAAACAAGCTCTCCACGCACAAAACAATGGTGATCTTAACTTACATACTTTGGCCCCAACCAAAGTAAGTTTGACTCCTGGAGTTTGTGACAGCCTTTTCACGTGCTTAGAAACATGGTCTCATGCCCTGAATCATATAAGAGAGCACACAGGGAGAAAAGGTTGGGAACCTCTGCTCTAATCAAAAGGATTATAATGATTAATACACAAAGGGAGTGAGCAGGCTTGGATTTATATCACTGTTACCCTTATTTTGAGAATATTCTTTCAAACTGGGAACTTTTTCCAAAGTCTGAGAGTTGGGAGTTTAGTAGATGCCCACCCTCATGTCGAGCCTGGTCTTCTGCTCTGCTCCTCCTTCTCTTGGCTCTGACTTAACAGGGCAAATCAAAGGGTTTCCTTGGCTGGCTTTACACGATGGAAGCCCTCTGGTCCTCGGATGATATCCTCTATTTGGAGCTCGCTGCTATGCGCATCCACAGCACTAAAGAGAGCTCTTTCAACATGTGGAACAATTGATTTTTTTCTTTTCTTTCGCTTTTCTGGACCTGTGCCTGTCCAGAACAGAATAAACTATTTGTTTATGTCATTTTTCTGAAAATTTAAAAATATTTGAAACAATAAAAATAGAATAGCGATATGCAATATTATCATGTGACGTCATCATTAAATGGCCCTAATCTGAAAAAAAAAGGCATATAATAAACCATGCTCTTTTCCAATCATTCTTTTACTGATAACAGCCGAGATAATCAAATTTCAAAATTAGCTCTACAGCCCCAAAATCTTGTTATTGTTTTCATTTCGATGTCCCGCCTTTCACCGTTTTACCAATCAGAAAGTCTGTGATCCAGGTTGCCAGAATTCACCGCATCGAGCTAATCTCACTGGTAAAGTCCCGTTATGATTCTCAAATCATTAATGACAAAATAAGGAATAAAACAAGGATTTCTATTGGGGCCTTTGTGAAAAAGGTGTTGGTTTTAGATTTATTGTTGATATAACTTTTGTCTGTTCAGATATTATGGTCCCAGCTGGACTCGTCCTGCATATCTGGCAACCTGAGTCAGGGAGAGTGGGAGAGGTTGCAGTACCACTTTTGGCCAGATTTTTACATACTGCTTCTTTAAGAAAAAATGAAGATGTGTTCCCTCAGTTAAGTTGTAGTGGGATGTCTCTCCGCACAGACCTGTCTAAGGCGATACAGCACAGATGGAGGATAGAGGCGGTGGTCAGCAGGACGTCCAGAGAGGTGCGCACCAGGCAGAAGATCTCCCCATAACGCCATTCCCCTGTGGTCAGCTCAATGGCAGCAAACGGCATGACCACCAGCGCCACCAGCAGGTCAGCGAACGCCAGTGAAACAATAAAGTAATTGGTCTTCTTTTTACTAAGATAAGAGAATGCACAATTAGTTGGAGCATAGGAAACACAAGCAGGTTAAGGAAGCAGGGGCTAACTAACATTTGACTGTTATAATGTATCAACCCAGAGAGCAGCAAATATCCCAAAGTAGATTGATTTTAAATCAAGAATAATATGCAAAGGTTCATTATATGACAATTTTGTGTAGCAGGTAATGTTATGTCAAGTTCCTGCAGTGCAGACACGCACCGACGAGGCTGGCCCAAGAAAATTACCCCCAAGTTCCTGCGGTGGAAACGTGGCTAATCTAGTAGAAAGTATACTTTGTGTATGTATTTTCTTTACATGCCTATGTTTCCATTATATTAAATATATATATAATTACCAATATAACACAATGTGTACCCAGCAGTCATATCTTACTTTCATATTCAGTGTATTTAAATTACAACCCTTTGTGAGTATCTGCTGACCTCTATTTCACAATATACAGTATTTTGCTATATATTGTTATAATAACTGGTGAGTAACCTCACACTTATGTTTTACAGTGCTTTGTATAAAGTATGTAGACTTTTGCTCTGCTTATAGGGAGACAAGAGCCACATCTGTCCATAGTCTACAGATGAAAAATGCTGGTACAGTACATCTTTAGAAATGGGGATAAAGGTACACTGTCCCTGTCAAGTAATAGAAATAAAAATTTGAATAAAATGTGCTTATTTTTCTCATGTTAGAGGAAATAATAACATGAAATGTGAATATTATTCAGAAGTCCATTTATTTATGTAATTCAACTTATAATGTGAAACTTATGAATCAAAAATGTATTTGCATAGCACAGTTCATACAAAAACACAGAAAAAAAAGAGCAAATGTATAGCCCTTAAATATTTATTTTGCATTTGATTTGATTCAAAAGGACTACATGTTAAATTGTGTTTGGAGAATATAATATATTTTAATTACGTTTGTAATTTTGTCCCAGTCATTGTCAGCGTCAATCAAAATCAAGTTACGCAGCTCACATCATGCGCAGCGACAAAGCGTGTCCTGCTGCTGTTTGCTAAAACTGAAGGTGTTCGGAGGCTACAAACAAATAATTTATAATGGGGGTCGCGGGCTAAAAACTTTGGGAACCCATGCACAAAAGGACATTTCAACAGTTTAGCTCCTCCCCCAGGTGAGATGAGTGATGATCAATCATAGGCACAGTCAGGACTTGGTCTGGACTGGGTCTGGACTGGGTATGGACTGGGTATGGACTGGGTATGGACTGGGCAGGTAGGGTATACAGTATATATTGTATGAAGCCTTTATTTGATGTTGATAATTGGCTCACATCTTGGAAAAAAAAAACACAAAAAACATCTCAGAAGATGTGAATATTTTGAACACGGTAATATAACAGACAAAGACTGGACACACTTTGCATGTAATGAGTCTGTATCATATATTCACTTCACATTTTTTATTGAACTACAGAAATAAATGCATTTTTGAAAAAGATTCTCATTATTTTATTTTCACCTTTAGCTTGACAACACAAAAGGAAAACTGGGACCCAAGATTCACAAAACATGAACCAAATAATTGAGAAGCATCATTTCTTTTTCAACAGGTCCCGATTAGCAGCTTCACACGGGCGTCACCTTTTTTACATGACAGTTTTACAGTCACAAACACAATCACCTTTTTATTGAGATAATTTGACTTTCCAAGAACTAAAAGGGAACCTGTATCTTGCAATGTAAAACAAAACGTAATACTATGTTTGTCACGAGTCATAAACTGCAGTTGGAAAGAGACTTTTACTGTAGCTCTCTAAGGCTGATAATGCAAACAGAGAACTGCACAGTGAGTTTATGGTTATAGTTGTTCAAGAGATCGACAGTGAGTCAAGTTTTTTTTCCTTACATTGAAATTAGAGCCACAAGAAATTTCCATCAATATTGTATATACAATCCTGTTATTTTTTGAATTAAGAGGTATGGACACTTATACGACGCAGCATAGGGTTCACCTAAACTTTAAGATAAATTGTGCACTATTAAGAGAATCTAAAAAAAAAAAAAAAAAATAATGAGAATAATTTCTAAATATTATGAGAATAAACTCAGAATGATCTTTTCACTTTCACGTCATAGTCAAAATAAAGATGTAATCACAAATGCACAAAGCGCGTCTCATTTCAATGTTCTTAGAACCTCTCAATGGATTTACTCTTTTCATTCACTCTCCAGAATTGGTTTTCAACATTACTTACAAATGATTGATTGTACATGCTCTGTCCAAGCCACAAGCGAAGGAGCTTTGTGGGAAATTTTGTTTTAAATGTGCATAGAGACAGTTTATAACAATTAACAATACTTTTAACTAGGGTCATCTCTTAGAGAGATTATGAAAGCATAAAACCCTCTGGAGCTTCAGTGAACTCTGGACGAGGCGTCTCAATGTTCATTTGGCTGCAATGTACGATGGAGCTCCATTGTCTTCTACAATATGCACCGATAGTGATATTTTTATGATTAATTGACTTTTATTTCATAGTATTTATAGTTATAGTTAATTCTCATGCTATTTCAAGTTTATTCTATTCATATTTTGAGATTAATCTCATAATATTGTGACTTCGACTTTATTCTCATAATATTTAGACTTTAGAAAAAGTAAAAATATACTGACTTTAATCTCAAGACACTATGAGATTCTGGCCTGGCCTCAGCCATCCGTACATTCTTGTCAGTCATCATTTCCCTGCATGTACCGTCTGGGTCTGGTCCCTGTGTTTGCGATTACATCGGTTGAATTCCATCCAACAAATCAGCGAGCGCGGGAGGCAGTTGTTGTAGTTAGATGTGGATGACGTCAAGAGTTTGCGCCGGACGGGCAGGTTTTAGTTTGGCAATGGCGAAGAACGCAATAGTAAAGTATTCCGGTCTGGTTTTATCAATAAATTAAAGCTGGAGCAAGAGGAATGACATTGTTGGCAAAGATTGTGGCGCTACTCCCCACGGGCTCCGTTAGCAGCAAAGGAGATGGCTAGACTAAAGGCTAAATGCTAACGATTCACCGGGCGCATTACATACGTCATGATAAAAATACTAAACTCAGATCCAATCGTTTCAATCTGCAAAAGGAGTTATTCCCTCCCAACTCTTAACGGAGCTCAATGGAGCACATTCAGACCTTAGTACCAACTGTAATTTGTACTATGGTGTGGTACGACCAGGCTCATAGTGTCTGGCAATTTCTTTTTTTTTTTAAAAACAGGTGAGCTCTATGCTTTTGTCGTAAACCTCATCACATTTTGACCATCACATCCTCAAAAAAGACACCTGGCTGGGAGTCGAAACGTCAGGGATACATAGTGTGTTTTAGAGTATGTATTTGTACTCACCGGAGATGCCTGTCTTTGCACAAGGCCACCATCACCAACAAGTTACCGAACACAGTCATAACAATGATGATGGTCAAGAAGATGGTGAGAATGATTTTCTCCAACGAGCTCAGAAACTCCTGAGGCTCCCCCTGTTCTTTGGAGTCAATTAAGTGTTCCAACAAACTGTCAAGAATCATCAAAAAGATATCTTTAGCATTTAAAGTCAAAATATTATAGCATCTTTCAAAATCTCTCAAGATTCAGTGTACACATACACATGCATAGATATATACTGTACATACATATAAGCCATATTTTACCAGTCTCCGCTTTAGGATTGGTTAATATCAGCAGACACACATTTGATTTGTTATATCGACATTGTTTTTTTTCTTTAATTTGTTTCTCACTTTTGCGAGGATGCTGTGGCCATCACTGGTTGTCTGCATTGAGGTCAACAGAGGCTGCTCCTCATCACCCCATTCTTCAGCCCCAGACACTGAGTGGACACAAAACATCAGATTACTATTACTATGGCATACATTTTGTGAGTAAATGTGTGTAGGCTCTCAGTGGTACAGGAATTATTCAAAACTAAGAAACCTTTGTCACTCATCATCTGTATTTCAGATAGCAGCCGTTTCATTCTTCATCCAAAGAGGAAGGAAGGAAGGAAATGAAATCTCAGTTGAGACTCATTATGATCCACACCTTGCTTTTATACACAGGTCCCTAAATCTAATTCTTCAGGTAACTCTTACTGTGAAATGGAACACAGTAAAACATGTAGGCAACTTTAAAGCCTCTGTGAAGAGGTGGTTCCCACTTGTAATTAGAGTAAATGAGTAATCAGAGGCTAAAACTCCAGGGCTTCAGCTTCCCAATGAGACCAACCAAAAGTTTGTACTCAAAAGGTCCCCAAAACAGATTTACATTGATTACACTGGAAAAAAAAGCTAATAAAAATTGTTCAGGTGGTGGAAGTCAACAATCCAGATTTACCAACAAGTTTTAGATCAACAAGAATGCTACAATTGCTATTAAGTCCTGTTCTGAAACTGTTATTTCAATGTACTTATGTTCAGAATTGGATTTATCTTCAGACACAAAGACAAGGACATGTTGTGACAGAGCTGGCAGCAGTGATTTCTGCATATCTCCAGAAATAGTCCCAACTAACTCCAAACGCACAAATGGTCATGACCACTTATTCAAGCCGGCATGTGTTGTTTGTCTATAGAGACGCATTAAGACACCAAATGTGAGATGGATCTAAGAATAAAAAGCCGGACCACAGCTTGAAAGTGTAGCACAAACAGGCGACGAGGCTGTTTGCCAGATCGCACCAGTGGGTTACATTCTCTGTGGATAGTAATAATAATCTACTTTGTTTGGAATCATTAGCAAAATGTGGCAGGTCAGAATTATTAGAACTAATTGAAAAAGCCCTATGTTCCAGCGATATCACTGATAAACACATGTATGTAAGTATTTGTGGATACTGGATATTAAGTAAAAAAATTTATTGCAGGATTTACACGGCCTAAGAATACTTCTCTTTGTTAAATTAAATATGAAATTACATGCTTCACCTAGGTCCATTAAATATAAAATAATATAAACATTTAAAAATCTTATATAAAAATGTGATGAAACAAGTATGAAGGATAGAAAACTCTTCCTCCCTATAGAGGCAGACATGCTACTATCAGAGGTGGGGTATTTTTTTTCCAATCTCCAATGTTCTGAAAACACAGACATGTGATTGTAAAGCACATTATTTCACTTGAGAAACTAATATATGGGCAATACTTTTGTTTTAAAAGTCAGAAAATACTTCTGAGTGTGATGCCATAGTGGTACAATTGTCATGGTGTGGATTTTATTTTGTATTTTGGTTTTATTTTGACATTTGTTCTCTGTGGTTTAGTTTTAGTTTGACTTTGACGTCCTGTTTCCCCTGTGTTGATTGTCTGCCCCGCCCTGATGTGTTTCACCTGTGTCTCTCTTTGTCTATTTGTACCCTGTGTCACTCCCGTATTCGTCCCGGAAACCGGATTCGTCCGGAAGTTCAGTTTGCGCATGTCAAAAAGTGTAATAAGTCCTTAAGTGGTGACTGGTTAAGTTTAGGCGTCTGATTAAGATGGTTAAGTTTAGGGTTAAGGCTGGGTTGGGGTTATTTTATGGGAATGGCTGGTTAAGTTTAGGCATGAATAGGTAGTTTGTTATATTTACTTCCGCTTCCGTCCAGATTCTGTGACGTAATCTACTGCTGCGTATGATCATTGGATCAAACTGAACTTCCGGACGCATCCGGTTTCCGGGACGAATACGGGAGTGACAACCTGTGCTCCTCTCCTCTTGTTGCTGGTCCATTGGTCTTGTCCATGTCTGTTTCTGTTTTGTTCCTGTTTCCTGAATTTTGAGTTTTAACCTGGACTTTTATTTTAATAAATCCTTATTTTCTGCATTCCTGCATTTTGAGTCCTCCATCATCTCGCCACGTGACAACAATGACATCACAGTATTACAGGACATGTAGACAGAATAGGCAGAGTTACATGTTTGTACCAGAAGTTCCTGATATTAGCATGGATTTATCTATAAACAGCTCCAGGTCTTTGATTACACATTTGAATAACATGATTAACTCTTACAAATTTGATTAACTGATTGTGTTGCCATGATTAATTGGATAATTTAAGTAACTACTACCGTGTAAAATCTGTGATGAGTTCATAATGTTTATATGTTTGCTTATAGTATATTTTTGGTTCAAGTTTCATTTCAACTAATGCCAGTTCATAATGTTTAAAAAAGCGTAAAACCAAGACATTACGTGACCTGACAGTACATTGTCTCCCTTGTTGCTATACAGTAGATGTCACCGCACACAGTATATAAAAATAGAAGACAAAAAATTGAAAATAAAAAAATATATATATTTTTTGGGGATGCTCCTAAAGACCACACAGCTGTTTAATAATAGGCTCAGATTCAGATTCATTTTATCTGCCATTTGCACAACAACCACTCTGGAATACATTCGCAAAAGTCTAGAGTGTGCAGAAGACAAGTACATAAATAAATAAAATAAAAGGATAAATAATTTGATCAAACAAAACATTGACTCCCATCCAATAGTCCCGTTTCAGACAGCTCTAAAAGTGCTCAGTGAAATGTAAACTCTGCTCTATAATGTCCATAATGCTGGTTTACAGTGACATATGTATAGATCAGCGCTCCACAGAGATGACAGGAAGAGTACTCCTTATCAGACGTAAGTGCTGATTACAAGAGGCTTTTTATGCGCGTCTTCAGCTTACACACCACAGGCTGCAAAACATGGCTTTAACAGGATTTAGTGGGTCACACTGTCGTAAAACCTGTGTCAGGTTATAATATATGTTTAATTATTCTTAATCTTTTATAACCTGTCTGGAGAATCCGCTGATAGGCAGTAGAATAGGGCTGCAACTAATTCCTTTTTGATTACTGAGTGGACAAGTACTTTATTAATAATTATTTTTTTTACCATACCTGGATCAAAAAACATGCAAAGAAGAGGTTTTCTGACTGGATTTGTAGTATGGTAGTATTTCTAATTAAACGTTTATGTTATGTGTAGTTCTTGAGTGGCATGGCATTAGCTTTGTTTTGGTCTAGTTTTTTTCTTTTTTTAAATCCTTTAATTGAGGGATGTAAACAAATATTGATTAACCAAAAGAATAATCGCCTAATTAATCAGTTATCATAATAATTGTGAATCGTAGAGTCCGAGAGGAAGGATCAACAGTTGGGTTTTAATGCTGTTTTCCTCTAACAGTTGATGCATAGTCTACTTTATATATGATAAACTGTTATAGAAGTCCTATTTTAAAACATACCAAATATCCAAACATTGTTTTCTAATGCAGGAAATCGATCATTCTTGTAAATAATAAAATAAGTATAATGCAAAAACAAAATTTCCACAGGCAGCAGTGCAAACCATTTGACTTTTTTCACTTTTTCACACAGCCACTTAGCTAGTTATGCTGGCCAAGAGTCAAGTGGTCACATCACGTCATTAGCGCTGTAACATGGGGCATTCTGTGCAAATTCCGTCCATATTAAATGAATAAAAGACACGCAGAGTTACAGCTGGATATTCACAAAGGCCTCGAGATAAACCTCTATGAGGTTTGAAAATCACAACAGGATAACTCTGCGATTGTATGCTCATTTAACTACTACTACTACTACAATTATGTTTTTTTTTCCTGATAAAGGTAAAAATGTTTGAAAAAAAGTTATAGACAGTTCTACAATTATCACTGGGTAACAAAAAGATATTTTTAGAAAATAGTCCAGGGTTTTCCAGCTGAATTAGACTCATTTTGATTTTGCGTAAAAAACAAATTTCTGCGGATCATCAGCTGAGAAACCCATGACGTTTTTTCCGTTCCGTATCCAAAGTCATTCAGTTTTTATTTACTCCATCAAATTTGATAAGCAGAATTCATAATAACATAGACGTACGTAATCCGTAACACTATGGCTGTATCTCAAAAAGTTGACCTGATAGAGCAAAATGCATGTGATATTCAGACTCAGAACACCAACATTAGTCTAAAGCAGTTGAGAAACCCCTGACCATTTTTTGGCTGTCAACTTGTGTTGACAAAATTGTGATGGAGAAAATCTAGTGATAGAACCAAACTGGTTTAGACCAAAGTACTAGCACATGTACTGTACATGAAAGTACTCCAGTTACTCCATACCTTTAATGATGCTCATGTGGTGTACAACCTTTTGCCTTTTAGAGAAAGAAAGACAAATGCGTTATTTATAGATATTGCAGAACTTTTAATTTGTGTTCAACCTATAATGAGATGCCGATACATCCGTTATGAATCTCCAGTTATATATTTTTTTTTGTGAATTTGAGTCTGATGTTATCCACACTTGGATGGACAATCACACCCACTCGATTCCCGAACAAAAGAATTCTCTGTCCTCTGCTCGTCCTGAGAAAGCTGTTAAATTAACTTTTCTTTTTGACGCAGGCAGCCAAGTATAAGTAAATTGAGACAACACTTCCCAACTTGTCCAAACTGATCTGGGTTGTCAAAATACATGACAATTTTGAAACACTTGACCTCCGTTCACTTTGTGGCTTCTCATGTTGGAAATTTGTAATTAAATCAAAACATAAATGACAGGAACAGATCAGTGAGTGTTTGATTTTGTTATCGGCTACAAAAGCATAAAACGATGCAAGATTATAAGACCGCAGCAGACATGCCATCTGTACTTCAAAGACACAGAGAGACACACAACGAGGACTTGTCTCTGGAGCCAAACAAAGTTATCAAAGATTCAGAAGCTGATAATGTTACTTTCCGTGTTAAATCAACTTTTCTGTTATAAATATAATTAAAAATGGGAGCC